GTCTATAAATTTGAAGCATCCTCAGGAGTGGTGCGAGAGAAAAATGTCTGAATTGAGGGTTTGGCAGATGACTGTTTAATCTGAGAATTCCCAGATGAATCTGGGAGGAGGGAAATAACTGAAGGAAGAGGTCAGGGCAACCAATGGATGGGATATTGTGGTTCCCTGGATAATAGCTGGCCTTGGGCTGTGGGGCATGTCATCCAGTCTGCAGTAAATGAGGATGAGATGGATGATGAGGGGCAGCACAACTGAGAAGCAGGACTCTTCCATGGTGTCTGAATGTGTGGGGCCAAGACACTCACAGGTTCCAGGTCCTACCACAGGTGGTCTGACTGCAATTGCCTGGCAGACCCAGCCATGGGTCTGCTGTTCAGAACAGGCAGCTGCATGTTCAGTGAAAGCCATGGGGCTAGGAATGTGCCATGGGTTCTGCAGGGTATATATTATTCCTAAGATGTCTCCTTATTGTGCATGTTTTAAAGGCTCCAGAAAGGGGAAAGTAGTTTTAACAGTTGGAAATATCATAGGACGGGCAATATGACAAGTATAAAGACAGCTAAACCACATGTCAGAAGTCTCCATCCATTTGGCTCACAGTTTTCCAAACATTTCGAATGTTAGCCTAGTAAATCAATGAAAGCCCTGTGCRCCACCTTCTGGAAAAGTCTAGCATCACATTGGCCTCACCCACGTCTTCACCCAGTCCTCAAGCAGGCTCCTGAGCACCTAATTCCTGAGGCTGTGGCAGGAATAACTTGGGGACTGGGTTGTAGGAGATACTCCTCAGCTGCCTGTGTCTCTTGCCCCCTGGGACCAGGATACAGCTCCTGCAGATTTAGTCCCTTTCAATCTCTGGAAGCCTGAACCCTGACCTCCTACCTCTCCATGGCTTCCCTACTGTCCACAAGGACCTCCAGGGCCATTTGTTCTCTGAACCTGAGTTTTCTCCCTGGGATTCCTCTTCCCACCCATGGGGAGCAGGGCAATAGGATTTCTGGTTACCAGGAATTACATCCCTGAGTTTTAGACTCCCAGGTCACCTTTGGGCTCCTGAGCTAGACTGCTGGCCTTCTGGCCTGGAGATGTCCTTAGAGTCCCAGAATGTCCACAGGAATCTTAAAACTGGGGTCAATACACTCAGAATGTCAACTACACTGACACATTTTGCCTTGATTCCTCATCTATTAAAGGAGATGATATGTCTCCAAGGACCCCCCTTGATGATCTTGCAGCCTGGCCTGAGCCACTGGATCGTGAGTCAGGAGGGYAACAGATGCCTGAGCCCATCATGCYGGAGCTGCCACTCAGGACCCCATCTTGTGCTGGGGTGGGGGTGTGCACATAAACTCATTCCCTATTCATTGCAGCTTTCAGGGAACCTACCTCTGGGCACCCATCTCGTCTGTCACAATGGAATCCACTAAGGATGTGGTCTTTTTGCCTCTAAAACATTTGAAGTCTTTCCATAGGGTCCCTTTGGTTCTTGGAATCCACTATGAAGRGGCGCTCCCAAGGAGGTGCCACTGTTAAATTCACATATTGAATTTATCCTCCTAAAATTCACACATTGAATCCTAAGCCTTGTGCCTTAAAATGTGACTGTATTTGAAGATGAGGTATCTCTAAGTATCTTTAATTAATTGTAATTAAATTAAATGAGGTCATTAGGATGGAACCATATGACAGGGGTCCTTATTAAAAGAGATACACACAGAGGAAAGATCATGGTCAGACAGAGTGAGAAGGCAGTCACCTATAAATCAAGCCACTCTGAGCCTCAAAAGCATCTGACCGTGTTCACACAACAGTATCTGTGCTAGAGTTTCATCTCAAATGTTACTGTAAATGTCTCAAACATACTCAGGGTTTATTCTCAGCTTGATGCTATTGGAAAGTACTACAAACATTTAAGAGCTGGGGTTTAGGGAAAAACTTAGGTGACTGAAGCCATGCCCTTGAAGGGGTTATGAAGATCCCAGGAGCTCCTTTTTCTCCATGTTTTGCTTCTCAGGAACCGCATAATGAACATTTTGCTTCACTACACACTGTCGGCCATGATGCTTTGTCTCACATAAAAAGACCCCAAGACAAAGATTTATCAACTATAGACTAAAACCTAGAAAATTGTAAACTGAAGAAAACTTTTCCTTTTTTAAGTTGTGTATCTTCGGTGTTTTGTTACAGTAAAGGAAAACTGWCCAACCCACCTTGATCTTTGCTAGCCTACAAAATTTTGAGRAAATAAATTTCTGATTTTTAATTTACACAGCCTAAGATCCTCTATTTTGGCAACCCTAGTRCACCAATACAAAGGCTCTTCTATTAATAACCCATTCTTTACATGTAAGGGATAGAGATCCCTCATCTCCACACTGCCCATGGCCAGCCCTATTCTCCCAGGGGTTTCAARCTCCATTTGTAAGAAGGAGCCATCAGGCAGGTGTGACCCTGACAGAAAAGCAGGTGCTAGGCAGCTGAGAGCAGATGCCAAGGAGCTCATRACTGCTCACCTGGCTTAGCTTTCTGGGGGACATCATAAAGTGAGGTAAAGAAAGAAGCAAGAGTGAAGGACATGGGGTGACAGGAACCACTCGGGGAGARGAAAACAGATGGGTAGATGCCTCAACATGTTGATGACAACTTTGGAGGCCCCTGTTCAATCCATGGTCACATCTTCAATACTGCCCCCCAAGCCTAGTGCTTAACCCAGCAGCAGCTATGCTTGTGTGGTACAATTCTGATAACTGGACAGGGCATGGACACTGCTATTGTTTGGATAGTGTCCCTCAGGGGTCCATGTGTGTGGTCTCCAGGGTAGTGTCTTTGGGAGGTCCTCTGGACTTTTAGGAAGTGTGGCCTAGGCAGAGGTACTTCAGTCATTGAGGGCATGTCCTTGAAAGGGATTTTAAGACCTCAGCCTTTCCTGCTTCTCTATTTTCTTTGCTCATGCTACAAGCAGTTTGCTGTGCCACATGCTCCTACCATGATGCACTGCCTTCACCAAAGGCCAAAGAATGGGTTGCCTGATCTTGGACTACAACCCCTGGAACCATGAGCTAAAGAGGTCTTTTTTCTTTATCAGTTAAATGTCCCAAGTATTTTATCGAACTAATGCAAAGCTGACTAGGATAGACATCTTGACTCAGACTGGATCAATGTGTTCCTGGGGAGTATCTAGTTAAACTCTGCAAGTTGTCTAAGCAGAAGATGAACAGCCATGTGCATCAAGAGACAGAGATGGTGGGAGTAGGAACCTGGTGTAGTGAGGAKAAACTGGTCTATACCAGAGGCTACATGGCCCAGAGAACAGGAAGATTTAAAAGGGAAGGCCAAATGTGGTTCCTGTGGGATTTATAGGGTTTGAACCCACTAAGGCCAGGATGCCCTCATTTTTGCAGCCACTACAAACTTGTCCTTCTGTCTCCTCTTGGGTCCTCCCTCTATATAGCTTGTACAGACCTTAAATGGGTGTCTTTTTAATGTTTCCATGGAAATTCTCCAGCTGACATAAGAAGTGAGCAAACTGCCTATCATCTGGGGTAACATTCTGAAGTAGTCTGTGAATTTCTGCAAGCTTTGTGTTTCATCTAAAATATTCATGATTTAGAAATAAACTTACTCATATTTAGAAATATTTTTCATATGCTCTTGAAGGAGATCCTCTTTCTGCATGGTTGTGGAAAAGTCCTGGGGCCAGAAGGCCCCATAAGGTTAACAGTCCTTATGGTTTCTCAAGTCACCTAGTATGCAGCCCRTGTGGGTCCTTGATCCTTGTGACTATGGTGAAGTTGAGCGCTTGGGCCTGGTCACTGCCCTACCTCTCCTCTGGAGTCTACTGATGTGCAGGTGATCTCTCTAACTCCTCCATTCCTGTCTCTGGCTCCACTCTACCCCTGATTCAGAGAGACTGACTGTCACCACTCAGGACTTTCAGCCTGATGCAAGCTGGAGGGAGGTGACTTCATGCCTCTTGCTTCCCACTTAGTGGTACTTCATAGGGCTGCAGAAAACCACCACAAAACAAGTGGCCAATAAACAGCAGSAATTTATTTCTCATAGTTCTGGAGATTTGGATATCCAAAAATAAATCCGAGTCTGGTGAGAATCTGGTTCACTGTGGGTGTTTGGGGCTTTGTCATCCCATGGTGGAAGGGGCAAAGCAGTGCCCCAGGGTCTCTTTTATAAGGCATGAATCCTAATGATGAGCACCACTCTCATGGTCTAATCCCCCTCTCTAGAGTTCCACACACAATACCATCTCCCTGGGATCTCCACGAGGAATCCAGAGGCTGAAGAGAAGTGGATGCACTGCACTAAAATGTCCATCCCCCCCTACCCTTGCCATGGGTGTCTGTGACCCTTCTCTCTGGACCCAGTCAGATGCTCTCTGTTAATCAAATCCAATCATATTCAAGATGGAGTCACTTGGGTCAACCTCTAACAAAAATGAAAGATATGATACAAGAAGTGGAGAGTTTATGGAGGAGGAGATTTCATGTACATGTGCCCGATTAACAAGAGCTATCACTAAAAACTGCCAGAATCACAACTTTGTGTAAAGGCTGCCACAAAGCTTTAAAATTAATGACTTCACAGATATAACAGCTCCATACCAGTCAATGACCTAGATGCCTATTGTCTAATTCATTTTTAAATCCTTTACACATAAAAAAAAATACTTCTGTAAGGACTTCTTTTCATTGTACAAATCTTTCACCTCTTTCGTTAAGTTGATTCCCATGTATTTTATTTATTTATTTATTTATTTATTTATTTATTTATTTATTTATTTATTTTGAGGCTATTGTAAATGGGGTAGTATCTCTCCAGGTGACACACCTATACTGATCAGCAGCAAACCCCAACATCTCTTCACTATAAACCAAGACTCAATACATTTTCAGCAACAAAGACCTCTTATTCTTAAGTTTTGGGTCTTTTAGAAGTAGGGCAAGGGTGGTAGGGGAGACCTAGGGAGTCTATAGATTTCCGGGCAGAGGGAGGGAGCAGGGGCAGTATTCTGAAAGACTGGGAGTACCTAGGTGGGGGGTGCTGGCACTGAGGGTAGCTGTTGAGGGAAATGCAATCCCTGCTGGGTGGCAGGCATATCCTTGGGGTGCACGGTGTATGTGGCATGGAGCAGCACTCTCGAGCTGGTTGAAGATAGAACTCTGGGGTCCATAGTTCCTGTGGGGCAGGGAAATACTCCCTGCTTGGTGCAAGACAGATATTTGGGGAACAGGGTGCCTGTGTGAAGTGGAAACATTCCCTACTGGGTTGTAGGACAATCCTTGCGCTGCAGGGGATCTGTCCACATGGAGGTCTCAACAGGGCAAAGTTGCCGCAACTCCTCTGTAGGGAAGAGAAGAAAGAGAAAGTCACTGAGATGCTTCTGGAATTGGGCCAGAAGACTTCAGYTGGCTGGATTAAGGCAGTGGAGTCAGGAAGTTGGGGCCTAATCCCACATGATGAAGATTAGGGCCTACTTTTTCTTCTATTAGATGCAGTCTCTGATTTTAAATTCTTGGGTCCTTGATCCACATTGAGTTGAGTTTTGTGCATGGTGAGATATAGGGGTTTAATTTCATTTTGTTGCATGTAGATTTCCAGTTTTCCCAGCACTATTGTTGAAGAGGCTATCTTTTCTCCAATGCATGTTTTTGTCACTTTTGTCTAGTATAAGATAATTGTAATTTTGTGGGTTAGTCTCTGTGACCTCTGTACCATTGGTCTACCAGTCTGTTTAGGTGCCAAGACCACACTGTTTTAATTACTATTGCTCTGTAGTATAATTTAAGGTCTGGTATAGTGATGCCACCTGCTTCACTCTTCCTGCTAAGGACTGCTTTAGCTATTCTGGGTCTCTTATTTTTCCAGATGAATTTCATGATTATTTTTTATATTTCTATGAGGAATGCCATTGAGATTTTGATTAGAATTGCATTAAATCTGTATAGTGCTTTTGGTAGTATGGTCATTGATAATATTAATTCTGCCTATCCAAGACAAAGTAGATCTTTCAATCTTCTAAGGTCTTCTTTGATTTCTTTCTATAGGGTCCTGTAGTTTTCATTGTATAAATCTTTCACCTCTTTCATTAAGTTGATCCCAAGTATTTTATTTTATTTTTTTGAGGCTATTGTAAATGGGGTAGTTTTCCTCATTTCCCTTTCTGAGGATTTGTCACTGATATACRGAAATGCCTTTGATTTATAGGTGTTGATTTTATATCCTGCTACTTTGCTGAATTCATTCACTAGTTCTAAGAGTTTTCTGGTGGAGTTTTTTGAGTCTGCTAGGTATAGAATCATGTCATCAGAAAACAGTGCTAATTTAAGTTCTTCTTTTTCTGTGTGTATCCCTTTAATTTCTTTCATCTGTCTAATTGCTCTGGCCAGTGTTTCGAGAACTATGTTAAATAGAAGTGGTGAAAGAGGGCATCCCTGTCTTGTTCCAGGTTTTAGAAGGAATGCCTTTAATTTTTCTCCATTTAGAATGATGTTGGCCTGAGGCCCAAKAATTAATAAATGGGATAGATTCAAACTAAAAAGTTTCTTCTCAGCAAAAGAAACAATCTGTGAGGTGAATAGAGAGCCTATATACTGGGAGCAAATTTTTACCCTTCACACATCAGATAGAGCACTAATCTCCAGTATATAAAGAACTCAAAAAGCTAAGCCACCAAAAAACAAATAGGCCAATCAACAAATGGGCCAAGGACATGAACAGACACTTCTCGGAAGAGGATATACAATCAATCAACAAATATATAAAAAATGCTTATCATCTCTAGCAATTAGAGAAATACAAATCAAAACTACTCTAAGATTCATCTCACTCCAGTCAGAATGGCAGCTATTACAAAGACAAACAACTGTAAGTGTTGGCGAGGATGTGGGGGAAAAGGTACACTCATACATTGCTGGTGGGACGTCAAATTGGTGCAGCCAGTATGGAAAGCAGTATGGAAACTTCTTGGAAACCTGGGAATGGTACCACCATTTGACCCAGCTGTCCCTCTCCTTGGTCTATACCCAAAGGACTTAAAAAAGCATACTACAGGGTCACAGCCATATCAATGTTTATAGCAGCACAATTCACAATAGCTAAACTGTGGAGCCAACCTAAATGCCCTTCAGTGGATGAATGAATTAAAAAATACGGCATATATACACAATGTAATTTTACTCAGCAATAAAAGAGAATAAAATYATGGCGTTTGCAGATAAATGGATGGTGTTAGAGAAGATAATGCTAAGTGAAGTTAGCCAATCCCCAAAAAACAAATGCCAAATATTTTCTCTGATATAAGGAGGCTGACTCATAGTGGGGTACAGAGGGGGAGCCTGGGAGAAATAGACAAACTCTAGATAGGGCAGAGGAGTGGGAGGGAAAGGGAGGTGGCAGGGGGTTAGCAATGATGGTGGAATGTGATGGATATCATTATCCAAAGTTATGTATGAAGACACGAATTGGTGTCAACATACTTTATATACAAACAGATATAAAAAATGTGCTGTATTTCTGTAATAAGAATTTTAATGCATTCTGCTATCATTTTTTTTAAATCAACAAAAAAGGAAAAAAAAGAATAAATTCTTAAACTACAACTATAGGGCTAAACAATATGAGGCCACTGGAAGGCTTCAGTTCTGATCTAGGAGAATACTGGAGACCAGAAAGCCATCCTTTGTCATCTGTCCTTTCCCTGCCCTAGTTCTGAAGAAGAGATTGTCTGCTATGTCCTTACTTAGCCTCTTGCTTCACCCTCCCTCCACAGACTGGAAAAGATCACCATCTCAGTACCCAACCCCTGAAAGGTGCCAGTCACCCATCACATGTTCCAGCTTGTATCCCAGTATGTCCTGCTATAGGGCTTTACACTGAGAAACAAAGAAGAAAACGACCAACACAGGAAAGGAAAGAAGAGCTCTGGAAAAATCCTATAATCACAGGAGATTATTAGACATGTGACTACTCTCTTGACCTACCACACAGCCAAGGAGCAGGACTGTCCATATTTATCCTGATACTGGAGTGGGCAACTTCTGTTAGGAGCAAGTAACTGGAAGGTGGGCCAGAACTGGATCTGGAGAGGGGACCCAGGCACTCCTGGTCATCTGGCTACATGGACCATCACTTATCATTACCACAGCATGACTGTATTTATTTACGGGACCATCTCAATAGCCAATCCATGGTCTCCAAAACACTTTCCTTTGCCTTCATGTATGTTGGATCTTAAATGATTCTTTGCGACAGAAAAAAGAGCAAAAATATATTATTTAGGGGACCATGTCTAACTAGAAGTATTCATTCATTCATTCATTCATTCATTCATTCATTCATACATTCATCAACAGAGAGCTCTATATCTGTGGACCTAGATTCAAAACAACAACTTCTTCTGGACATCTTGCTTCTGTTAACAATCCAACCTGCAAGGCTGGTGCATTGTCTGTCTCCCACAGTCCACACCTGTGCAACAGTGAGAGCTGTCACAAACAGCTTTACAACTGAATTGATAAAGACAGTATTTGATTTTCTRCTTCACCAGGTCCAGGTTGCTCCAGGACATTTTCAGTGTTTGTTTCCTTTGCTTGGAAGGAATTCCTCTGCTTTTCTCTTCACTGACTTCTTATCAGTTTGTTTCAGTCTTCTCTAGTCAACCAGATATTTGCTGACATATTAATGACTTTGAATTTTTTGGATAGAATTTGTCATTCTCCAACATTCTCCAAAGAAAATGTAAGAATGTCACGATGGTATGACATTCTTCTGGTTCACTCCATCTCCCCAACACCTGCTGTGGAATCATCTTTGCTGAGTTAATGGATATAATTAAGTCTGTGAATCTATTTCTTTGTGAGTTCTTTCCGCAACTCTCTTGACTGCTGTGCAAAAATCAAATATTTACATGTAACCTTAAAATTTTAAATGTTTTTATTTAAAACATTTTTTCTATTTTAAATGTTTTTATTAGTACACTATATTTACACATAATAGTCTGATTCATTTGACATAATCATACATGCATGGAATGTAATTTGCTCCATTTCAATTCCCTGTGCTCCCTTTCTCCCTTCTCTCTTCCCTCATCGGGCTCTGTTCTCCTTCTTCTATTTTACTGGTCTTTATTCTATTTATTATTTTTTAATTGATATATTATGGAAATACAAAAAGATAAAAATTACTATGGTATATTCATATATGCACATAGCATACTTTAGTCAATTTCACCCCACAGTTCCTCCCGTTTCTCTTTCCTCCCCTCAAATATATTCCCCTTACTCTACTGATCTCCCTACTGTTTTCATGGGATTGCCCCAACTTTTTTTCCCCCTTGTTTCCATATCTGAGAGGAAACATTTGACCCTTGACTTTCTGAGCCTGCCTTATGTGATTCAGCATGATGTTTTAGTTCCTTCCTTTTACCAGCAGAGGCCATAATTTCATTCTTTTTTATGGCTGAGTAAAACTCCACTGTGTATATATACAATATTTTCTTTATCCATTCATCTGTTGATGGCCACCTGGGCTGATTCCATAACTTGGCTATTGTGAATTGCACTGTATAAACATTGATGTGGCTRTATTACGATAGTATGCTGATTTTACATAATATTAGTGATGGTTTTTACATATTTAATCATTTTAATTATTTAGAATTTATATTAGTATGTCATGGAATAAGACTTCAATTTGTGCTTTTCCCCAGTAGTTTACATAATTCTGAGTGCACACTCTGGCCCACAATCACCACTGAGGSCCATGACAACGGTCACGCAATCTATTTGGTCCAGGTAGTGTTTGGTTGGTTTGGAGCATCATTTTATGCACCCATTGTCTTAGTTATTTTAATTACTGAGGCTTAATATTTGTAGGATAAGACAAATCTTCTCTCTCTGCTCTTCTTTTTCAAAAATTCCTTTTCTTAATTGTGTAGAATTTCAGGTGAATTTTTTAATCAYATTGAACAAATTTCTTAAGAATGCTTCATTGCAGATTTTGCTACGTTAGTATTATGTGCATGAGTTTCTCGAGGAAAAGTCAACATTGAGGTTCAGGATTTTAAATTTTCCAATCTTCTCTCACAAACAACAAATAAAGTTTTGTGGTTTCTTCTCATCATAGGTAGGTATATTTTTATTATACTTATGTGTAGGCATTTTTAATTTTTTTTTCTT